TACCTCGCCTTCCTTGCTTTTCACTGGTCGTTCTGAATTGCGGCGATTTCCAGAGAGTTTCTTTGTCGTGTCATACAGTTGTCTCATGTTTCCTTCTCTTGAAGCCTTTTCCGCCGTCGTTGATAAATCTTCCACATATGTACGTTTGTCGGTTCTGATGCTCCTCTTCACTTGTTTGTTTATTCCCGTGTATTCAGCTTGTGCCTTGGCTTTTTCTGCTCTTGTTCGACTGGTATTGATTGCTGCCTTCTTGTTCCTCCTTTCTTGAATCTTATGCAGTGTATCAACAGTGATCCATTCCTTGTGATGGTGTTTCTTGTGACCCAGGACCTCATGACATGTTGAAGTGATTGCCTCTTTGATCCCCTTCCAGTTGTTCTCCACAGTAGTTCCTTCTCCATTGAGTAGATCATTAAAGACCTGGACTACCTTGAATTTGTTGAGTTTGTCAGTATCCTGAAGAAAGGCCGTATTGAACTTTTGTGATATTGTCCGCCCCATTGTCCAGTGCTTCTTGAGTTTCGATTTCATCTTGGCGAGCAGCAAGTGATGATCTGGTGCTGTATCAGCTCCTCTCTTGGTTCTTACGTTCTCTATAGTCTTCGTGAAGGTTTTGTTGATGCAAACATGGTCGATTTGGTTTGGCGTGGTGTGACCCGGTGGAGTCCATGTGATTCGGTGTATGCGTTTATGTGGAAATATGGTGCCACCTATGACCAGTTTATTGAAGGCACATGGGTTTGCAAATCTCATCATTTTCGTCCCATGATGTCTTCATATTCACTGTTGTCCGTTCCAACCTTGTCATTGAAATCTCCCATCAGAATGGTCAGATCCTTTGTTGGGCACTTCTCGATGATTGACTGCAGCCTATTGTAGGATTGGCCTTTGGTGTCTTCATTGTGGTCGTTGGTAGGAGCATAGCATTGGATGATGTTCATTGAAATGCCCTATTTCTTTATTTTGAAGATGGCTTTGATGATCCTTGGTGCATGAGATTCCCTTTGTATAAGTGCATTTTGTGCTTGTTTGGACAGCAATAATGCAACTCCTTGTGTATGTGGGGGATTTTCTTCTTCATGGCCAGAGTACAATAGATTCTCTCCTGAAGCTAGTCGTTGTTGTCCAACTTGCGTCCAATGTGTTTCACTGATCCCAAGTACCTCTAGGTAGTATCTTCTCATTTCTGCAACAATTTGGAAGGCACTCCCGGTCTCCCACATTGTACGAACATTCCATGTACCTAAATAAATGGTCGTTCTGGTTGTCAGAAGGGGCATCGGCCTCTTAACTTCCGAAGGAACTCGGCTTTTATCATGAGGCGTCATAATTCTTCTAAATGAAGACCTTCTGACTCCCAGGGCAGAGTTTAAGTGGTTTGAATAATTTTTTCTGGTTAGCGTTGTTTTAGCGAGTTAGTTTTCTACGGGATGCGGACGCTAACCCCATGCCCAACCCTCCTCCTTTATCCGGTCTTGGGACCGTCAGTAGCCTTCGGAGGGACTCCAGGCGGAGTTAAGCCGATCGCTACATATGATAAAAGGTACGTTTACACTAACATGTGTTTACGCAAACGCATTCACTGGATTTTTGTTATTGCAGATGTTTCTATGCCAATCATTGGTATAGACCTCCTACAACACCACAATCAAGTCATCCATACGCGCAGACGGAGGCTAGTAGATGAAAACACCAATTTATCTGTTTGCGTAACTTCTTTTTCCGGTTGCACATTATCTCTAGTCACAATTAGGCACACGACAAAACCCATTCTATCGACCGATACTCGACAATTATTCTGGAATACACCAATCGCAACCGAAAAGCTAAGGTTAGCCAAGAACTGATTCGAACACATGATAGACTTATGAATCATACGACCGTCAAACAGCCCATAGGCATCTCTGTTACTTACATGTGCAACCATATGGTCCCTGAAAATGACAGGAACGATTGGCGTCCAACTGGTGACTATCAGTGATTGAATACAAAAACCATTCCCGATCGTTACTCGTTGACTCACATTCACAATTTGACAGCTACCTTGCAGGGTAAAACTGTCTTTTCGAAAATCGACTTGGTTAAAGCGTATGACTAAATCCCTATGGTTACTGAAGATATACCGAAAACAGCTGTCATAGCGTTTTTCGGACTGTACGAACTTTTGCGAATGACTTTTGGTCTAAGAAACTCTGCACAAACTTTCCAAAGGTTCATAGACGATGTTTTTCGAGGTCTCAACTTCGTACAGGCGTTTGTTGTTGACTGCCTAATAGCAAATGCGAACGGAGAATCGCATCTTCAGCATCTGGATCTTGTTTTCGAACGATAACAAAAATATAGCATTACTGTGAACATTCAAAAATGCCAAATCGGAACTGACTAATCAGACTTCCTAGGACACACCATAAATGCGCAAGGCACTCAACCCCTCAGAACTAAAGTAGCGTCCGTTCTGGATTACCCAGAATTGAACACCGTCAAGCAATTACTTACGTTTAACGGCCAGATAAGTTTCCATAGACGCTTCGTACCGAAATGCGCGTCACTTATGAACCCGCTAACCGAGTACTTTCTCTTTAAGCTCATCTTCAGTCAGGTACTCACCTCGTGAGTCTCGACATCTGGACTACATTTCGCAGTTTACTTCAGACATTCAACACATTTCTGGATCAAAGAATGTAGTCGCAGACGCCTTATCTCGAATAACTTCCTTGAACAATTTTCAAGGAATCGACCTTCTGAAAGAAAACACCCTTAAGCTGTGCACCAAGGACATGGGAACAGGTAAGGAAACCTTACTGTGTGACACATCTACAGGTAGGGATCGTCCAGTCCTGAAGAAACATTATCGATGCAACATCTTCAATACGTTGCACAAACATTCTCATCCAGATGTTTGTGCAACCATCAAGCTTATAGCAGAACGGTTTCGCTAGCCTGACATGAATAAAGACGTGAGGAAGTGGGCACGCTCCTGTATAAGCTACCAAAAATCTAAGGTTATCAGACACAACAAATGTCTATAAGACTCATTTAAAACTCTCAATGCTCGTTTCGACCATGTCCATCTGGATTTGGTAGGACCTTTGCCAGATTCAAATGGATACTTTTATCTCTTAAACTGCGTAGACCGTTTTACTCGATGGCCAGAAGCATTACCTATCAAGGACATCACTGCTGAAACAGTGGCCTGCCTCTTCGTCGAACGATGTGTAGCAAACTTCGGCTGCCCTTCAACCATCACTACAGACCGCGGACGTCAGTTTGAATCTGATCTTTTCCGTCGTCTGACTACACTTTTAGGAATCACTCGTTTCCGAACGACCGCCAACCACCAACAAGCAAACGGGTTAGTAGAATGCTTTTACTGACAACCAAAAGCCTCACTATCAGCTTCAAACATTTCTCAATGGACTGACGCTCTTCCCTCGTCTTACTAAGTATTCGCGATGCAGTGAAAGCTAACATTGGATACACTGCGGCTCAACTCGTTTATGGAACGACAATTTAACTTCCAGGAGAATTCGTGACTCCTTTATCTTCTTCAATGAACATGGATCTAATCTCCTACACGAGTAGGCTTGCAAACGCAATGCGTTCAGTTAAACCTGTTTTCACTTGATCGCAATCAACTGATGTTTTCGTTCAACCTGACTTACGATATAGTATACACATCTTCATTCGTCGAGACTCACATTTTCGACCTCTCGAATCAGCATACGAAGGACCCCTGAAAAATGTTAAGTGTAGATGCCAAAGGTATTTGGGGTTTAACAACGCTTTAACCAGCAACACATATTATGAATCATACCCACAAAGTGAAATCAAAAGACAGAAATGAAGAGGAGGGTGATCTGTAGCGGTAATTAAATCCCCAAAATAAACAGCTCTGTAAGTTTTCGACATTGGATCCTGACTACATTAGTTTTAAAGGACGCACCTAGCTGAAGGCCCTTGGTCATGCATCCGCACCAGATCACGAGTGGGAACGCCGTGCTCAACATCTACTGCAATCGCTAGCCAGATTAGATCAGACAGTCCCCGATATATTGGTAGCTTATCAAATATATCTTCGAACCTCTTCGTTTCTGTCTTTTGATTTCACTTGGTGGGTACGATTCATAATAGAAGGTGTTACTGGTTAAAGCGTTGTCCAATTCCAAATACCTGTGGCATTTTCAACTGAGTTGTTTTATCATTCACTATCAGAAAAGAACATAACAAAAACCAAACCTTCCTTCTATCAGTAAGTACTTTTAAATACTTGGTCGCAGATTCTAAATAACGATTAATTAATCAATCTATCAATTGAATTTCATAGTTTGAATTTGTTGAGGGTCTTGTTTTAACATATAGCTTTTGCTTATCAACATTATTGTGCTGATTTAATTCTTGTCTTTAGGCGATTTTCGTGGGTGTAATGTCTATTTACATTTCTCGTGCATAAAACACCTCAAGTCTGAAGTAATCCTGACTCATTTGTTTTAGAAATAATGTAATCATTTATTGACGAGAGAAATTAGCTAAATTAAAAATAATCTCAAAATACATGTTTAGAACGAATTAGTTTGTTGATTTCAGACCTCTGACGGACCAGTCGTCCGATTCCTCGCTATAAGTCTTGCAGAGATATCACAATTTTTCGGCAATTAATAACATGTCACCACCAATTAAACATAACTCCAAGGTGGTAACAACCAAAAAATAGTTTTCCTTGAATTCGTAATTTTGTTACAATATCACATAATTTGTCTTCTTTCGATAAGTCGCCCGATAAATTAAGTGTATGCATAAGTTGTACGATTTAACGATCAATACCAAAGATTATCAGTACAGAATTATTTCATATATACTAACATTAACAGGTATAACATATTTGGGTATATATATCCATATTTACGTTTATGAACCAATGTATTGCAGAGTTTTAAAATGGCGATCTCAGTAGAATGTGTATTGTTTTTCAGGCAGTTGCACCTAATTACATTCAGCCAGGTATGAATTCGGAGTTCGTTAAGTCGAGGACTAGGACGGATTTTGCGAAGGATCAAACTCAGTTAACATCTAAACGCTCCTCATTATGTCGGTCAAGAAAAGTGTTGCCCAGTAAAAAGTTATCGAGACAAACCCCACTTCTTTATTCGCGAGGGATATTCAGAATCAAGAGGTCTGACGAACACCAAAATTTAAAAGGAGAGGTGGATGGAGTCAGTAAAAGTAATGAAGTTTACATTAGATCTAAAAAGAACTATTAGATGATAATATAAAGAACGTATTCCAGGTCTTGAAGTCAGACAAAAATAACTATTCACTTGAGTCTGGTGATCATAGCGTGAATGAAAAAGAGGATGTTGATGAAGACAGAAATAAGAAATATGTGGAGGAGGAATCAAGTTCTTGTTCAACAGATGACGAGCTCGAAAACACAAACGCAAAGAGCACGAGGAAAAATGCGTCAGAGGTAAGTTTGCCAATATAATGACATGTTGTCGATGGCCAGTGGACATACGAGTTTTGTTGTTCAAAGCAAGAGAGGGTTTATATATTTATCATTACAACCTACTGGATGTTCATGGTAAGAAGAGCTGGGTAGAAACTCCAAACTACAGCTCAGAGTATTGGTAGACTGTCTGGAGATCAATGATTTGTCGTCCAACATAGTAACGATTAAAGCGGTTGTATGATCTATCTAGGTATTAGTGACATTTTACTGACCATGCGCTAATAATTACCCAATAAAGTGTCATACCGAAATTCTGTGAATTCTGAGATCAGCTAAATACATCACCATAGAAAATATGTCGCTGACAACTGTTGAAAAGTGGTATTAGATTACTTTGCATTTTCCATTTATCATAACAGTTCGTATATTTAAATGAAATAACCTACTTGACAACGTCAAATCTGAAGTTTTGAGGATTATGAATTAAATGATGAGAGATGTAATGGGTTTATCTCCATGAAAACTTGTTAGCTTGAACAAAGCGTCTGTCTGTTTTATCTCAGCTTTCATTGGTTTGTTCACTAACAATGATTTGTGACTCTATCCAGTGATTTTAACTGGTAAAAGTTTAATATGTATGTTATGTTAGTTAATGTAATTTGCTTCGTTTTTTCGACTTGATTTTTGCATTAAGATTTCCATACTTCTAATTTTAAGATTTTTATGAAATTTAGAAGATTGTAAACAACTTTTTGAAAGGTTGTTTTACTTTTTTACTGAGTAAGACAAGACTATCAAAATAAATGTAAGCTCTTAACGCGAAGAAATCAAGTAAAATCTCAGGCGATCGTTTGATAACCAGTAGCAAAACTTAACCTGTAACAAGTTTCAATAAAGGTTAACTTTAAATGAATTTTCCTGGTTTTCGAAATCAGAGATATAGTTTGAGGAATGTTTGTAGTTTGGTTAGATGTTACTCTTTGAGGTTAGCAGTCAATCAGAAGGAATTTTGCCGTCTTGCTAGACGTCGTTGTCAAATATAAAACCAACTTTGAAACTGCTTAATGAAGTTATCTAAAATAATTCTTTAATTTCAAATATTTGACTGTAAAGCAGCAAGTCTTTAGATACAAGATCATCTCAAGTTGTCATACAACTAAGAAAATTAATTGGTGTATCTAACATTTGTTTTAGTCCCTAAGAAAGTGTCGCAACTAAGTTTGTGGCAGTCGTAATATATGAGTCAGATAAGTTCATTTATTTGTCAATGAAGTACATTAACAATTTTTTAACATACTTACCCTACTAGTCCACAGAATACCTGAGAAAAACAGAAAATTATGAACTACCAAACATACGGAAAACCATTGTTCGTCTTCAAGAGAAGGAGGTATGTTGAAAACCATGAATGAATTCTATTTCTCCAAAGTAAAGCTACTTCCTTGACCGTTCTATGAAAAGATGTTGTCCTCTAAGGGATTGTAATAAATAAATGAAATTGTTCAACTAAAGATGTGGTCATAATAATGAACGTGTGAATCATTTTTTTATTTAAAAGACCGTGAAGTGCTCTTAGGGAGCTTTTAAATGGATTTAGGTGGGCTTAAATCAATCGCAGTAATATGAATGCAGGAAGGTATATAAAGAACAAGTCTTTAATTTTCTGGTTTCGAAAACGTTTAGCTTACAATGGCAGGGTAAAATTCGCTTTTTATTTAAAAAGTCTCTTTTCTATTTGTTATAAATTCGAGTTTAATTTAAATTGCAGGAGTAATTTATAAGTACGGGGTTCATAGTAGTAATTGCTCGTCAGATGTTATAAATAAAAACCTATGAATGTTATACTATATTTGCTGCCATAGTATTTGTGAGTGCCAATATTTATTTTGTATATAAAGCACTATTATATTGCAGTGAAATTGGAATTGAACTTATTGAAGACATTGAAAATTAACTACTTTCAACAATGCATGTAAAATCATTGAGTTAAATAACAGCAACTCGTTTAGATTCATCATCATTAAACATAATAAGACAACTAGTCGCTGAATATTCATTTATTTACTATTTACAAGAATATTTTATTGATTTTGCGTAATTTTAAAGAGTATAGTCTTTAATCAGTCCGTTAATTGAACTTTTGTATTATCTTATGCGCTTGTCACTCAGTGAAAAGACAGAATCTTTTGATAGAACACGTGAGTTCATCAAGGTTTAAAGTCAGCTTGCTAAAATGTTCGACATTTCCATGGACTCAAAGTAATACTGCAGACGTTTTATCTACTCATTTATAAAATCATGGTCAAAATTAGATTTGACGCATAATTGACTAAACATTTACCAAATCAATTCATGTGTAGATTTCGAATGTCTTATAGCCATTGTCGGTGTTACAGATTCTCTTTTGTTCGCTCTCGCCATCAGTCTGCTAACGGTTTATGTATAGGCCTGTGTAAACTCTAGATCAGAAGACTAAGAAAACCGGCTAAGTGCATTGCATGAGTCTGTATTATTACAATTAACAGGATTTCATGGCTATTCATACGAAATACATGACTATGACGAACCACAAATAACAAATCTGAGTACGCATAAAACGATGACAGTAATGGTTCAGAACTGAGTTACGAGTTTACGATTAATTAAAAATAATTTATGGAGAATGAAAGATGTGATAACATTCAGTGTGTCATTGAAATCTTAAAATTGGAGTAATGATAAATAAGTTCAATAAATATGCATTGTAAATATTTATATTAGATTCCCGGAGAATGGTCTCCAAACTTCCATCATTCTTATCATCTTAATAAGTAGTGGATCATTTATGAATTTGTTTAGTAATACATGGCTTAAGGTGAACTATTTAAATGTTGGTCATCACTTTAGGTTGGTGTTAATTCTCAAAAGGTGAACTCAGTTAAGTAAATACCCACTAAATCTTTGTGATGCCTGTTTCTCAGCGGAATCTAGCTAGTATTTTAATTCCTCGTGATCAGCGTTTTTATGCTAAACTAGAGTAAATGCTATAATTATGTCGTTTGAAGCTGTTAAAATTTCTTGTCCAAAAGAGTTTGCCTTATCCCATTGTTTATATTCAATGCCGAAGTCCGCTTAATCGCTATTGGCTTCCAGAGAATAAGCTTAGAATAGGGTGGAACGTGATCTGTTGGTTCTGTAGCTAATTGAAATTTATTACAGTTCGTGCTTTCATCAGAAATATTTGAAGTATAAGAAAAAAGCATTTGTAACGGAAAGTTCAAAAGTACTCCTTACTAATATATGTCCAAATAATAATAATAGATATCTTAGCCAGTTGAAAGCATGGTTAATTAATCGAACAGTGCAGATCACTAGAATTTAATGCCAATGAAAAAGCAAATATTCTATTTTCAGAAAGTTTTGTATTCTGGCTTTTTTCTGTTTAAGCTCTTTATCACCTGATTTTAAACATATTTCTCACATAATTGACAGGTCAGTCTATTTTCGACACTTTCAAACTTTCAATTAGAACACTAAAAGCCCAAATAGATGGTCATAAACACCTTTATTATTGAAATCTATAATTCACATAATTTCATGCGAAAGATAAAAGATAAAAATTAGACTAGAATTTATAAATTTTGACAGATATGGGGCCATTATTTTTTCATAAATACAAGTAACTCCTTCATAGTTGAATGATCATAATTTATGAACAACAAAAGATATCATCGCTACAATCAATAATTCAAAAAGTGGCTTATAATAAACACTATGAAACATGTCATAAAACAGACTAATTCACCAAAAATAACTATTTCACTGTTATATATCTTTTTTCTGCCTCACTCTAACAATACTAAATTTGAATCCAAGCTTTATTAAATATTTTTTTCGGTTTGGAAGATTTTACAAAGAACGCAAGCAATAGAAGCGGAATTTTATGAACGTTTGATTGAACTTAGAAAAGAAAATGAAACTGAAGTAGCAAAAATTATGAATCGTAAAAATGCTGAATTAATTGCTGTACAAAAAGCTGCTGAAACGAAACAATGTGAACTTCGTCAAGCAATAGATAAACTAGAAAATCAATTATCTGATACAGTCAACAATGCTGATCAAATTAAACGTAGCTCTGAAGAGAAAGTAAATCCATAAAAAGCCTTCAATATTAATTTTTATTTTGATTGTTTGTTGAAATTAATCAGTATGATTATTACGATCACTGAGGATCCTGTGTTCGATGCCCGTTGAAATCATCCTTTTGTACTACTGAGGAGTTCCAAGTTAGGATAGAGCAACTGTCCATTGCTTTCTGATTTCTAATGATTCATAATCTGAAGCCATTTCATGATGTTTATTATCTTAAAATTAAATCGAAACTTGAACATTTAGTTTCTAATTTTACTGTATTCAAAACATTAAATAATCATATTATTCAAGCAACTTGTAATATGAGATTACATATAAATTGAGACTATGTGATGCGATTCAGTAGTATGGTGTCTTTTTTTAATCTATGGATGATTAAACATAGTTGATTGTTGATCTCACTTAAAACTACCATAGTTGTACAAAATTTTCTTTGACATCGTAAGTAGTAATACAATAATTAGTCTTTTATTTGATATTGCAATGACTAAAGCCCTAAAATATAAGAATTCTCTTCATAATAAAGAAATTTGATATCAGAAGGGACTGATAGGTCCTGGGTTCAAATTTGACGAGGCGAGATTGTGGATACACACTGCTTAGGAGTTCCACAGTAGGATGAAACAGTCATCCAGTGCTTCCAGGTTTTCACTGGTGGTCTAGCTTCAATTGACTCATAATCTCAACTACTAGAAAGAATTTTGATTTGATACTCAACAGTTGATTAGCATGAATTCGATTATTAAATATAGTAACTTGTTGTTTGACAAATGTTAGTTTTTTCGAAAAATACCTTTTTTAAAAACAGAACTGCGATTACTTATTAAATGTAATTGGTTCAGATTAATGAGCTTGTTAAATTACAATGAATCAAGTCAGTAAATTTATTATTTGCTACATGGTTCAGATTAATGATAGCTGACTTTATTGTTAATATGAATACATTTTAAGAAACAATATCAACTATTGAAATATACGTAAATTATTTGTAAAATTGAATAATTCCTTATTATCCTTTATGTAATTAAAGGTGAAATAGTTGAAAATGTTTTTGTTACAACTAATTAATGTCATTCGCAGACCAAATTGCGACACTACAGATAATCGTCGAACAATCAGTTGTGTGAAACTCGTCACCATACATCAATTTCATCGAATATGAAAAGGCATTTGACAGTGTAGATAGAAGAACATTATGGAAGCTTTTTCGACACTATCGAGTTCCTGCGAAGATTGTCAACATTATCCGGAACTCATATGACGGACTACAGTGCCAAGTTGTGCATGAGGACAGCTGACAGATGCACTTCAAGTAAGGACCGAAGCCAGACGAGAATGTCTACTCTCCCCTTTCCTCTTTCTTCTGGTGGACGACTGGGTTATGAAGACCTCGACATCTGAGGGTAAGCATAGAATACAATAGATAGCATGAATGCAGCTAGACGATTTGGAATTAGTAGGTGACCTAGCCCTCCTATCGCATACACACGAACAAATGCAGATAAAGACAGCCAGTGTGGCAGCAGTCTCAGCAATAGTAGGCCTCAACATACACAAGGGGAAAACCAAGGTCCTCAAATACAACACGGAGAACACCAGACCAACCACACTTGATGACGAAACTTTGGAGGATGCAGAATCCTTCACATACCTGGGAAGCATCATCGATGAACAAGGAGGATCAGATGCGGACGTAAAGGTAAGGGTCGTCAAAGGATGGGCCGCATTCCTACAATTGAAGAACATATGGAACTCAAAACAACTTTCAACCAATATCAAAGTGAGAATCTTTAATACGAACGTGAAGACAGTTCTAATGTACGGAGCTGAAACTTGGAGAACTACAGCAGCAATCATCAAGAAGGTAAAAGTATTTACAAACAATTGTCTACAAAATATATGCAATGTCCGTCGTCGGCAGGATACCATCAGCCACAGCCTTCTGTGGGAGAGAACAAACCAGCTTCCAGCTGAAGAAGAAATTAGGAAAAGACGATGGAAATGGATAGGACATACATTACGCAAATCATCAAACTGCATCACGAAGCAAGCCCTAACTTGGAATCCTGAAGGGAAGCGGAAAAGTCGAAGGCCACAGAACATATTACGTCGGGAAATAGAAGCATATATGAAAAGAATGAATGATGACTGGAAGGAGCTGGAAAGGATTGCCCAGGACAGGGTTGGATGAAGAATGCTGGTGAGTGGCCTATGCTCCTTCGCGAGAAGTAACGGGCGTAATTAATTAATTAATGTAATTGTGAATATACCTTAACTTGACTGATGCAAGTTATAAATTCATGTAGAGAATAATCATCTATAGGTTAGTCGCATATACAATTTAAAAGAAAATCTATGTTATTCGTTCAAGAAATATGAATTTTTCTTGTTATATAGATGAATCAATTACAGTCAGTAATGAATAAACAATTTGAAAATCTATTGAAACAGTCTAATGAACAACGTGAATTTCTTATACAAGAACATGAGAAAACATTGAAAGATTTACAAAATAAAAATGAATCTACTTTTAAAGAACTGGAAATAAATAAATCCTTTGTTATAGAACTAGAATCAAAAATGGAATTACAGGCAAGTTAAGGTTATACAGTTTGTTATTTTAATAATTAATAAATTTGCAAATTACTGGAAAATTTCTATCAGATTAAAACATGGAGAATAATCATTTCAATAAATTCTATGTTCTACAATTGAATATTCAAGAGTGGTTAGATTTACGACAATCCGTGTCACGTAAAGACGGGTATCTACCTCAGACAATGGAAGATGATCGCGTTGTTTTGCGGATTGGTTGAAGATAAACATTAACACCGCTGAATGTTGGCTCAATGGTCTAGAGGTTAAGCGTTCGCGCGTGAGTCCGAATTCTGCGAGCGGGATCGTGGATGCGCACTGCTAAGGAGTCCCATAATAGAACGAGACGGCCTTGCAGTGCTTCCAAATTTTCAATGGTGGTCTAACATCGACCGATTCATGATCTCAATAAAAAATAATTAAGAATCTCCACAAACCCATAATGATAATTTCGAATTACTTGTAAAATAAAATAAAATAATTTATGTCCGGATGACTAATATGGATTATTAGATTAAATAAATTTATATGTTAAATGAAATTATGAGGTTAATAATTGAACTCTAAAGAGAATTAGTTGTAAAGAATATTTTTCGTTTGTATATCTGACTTTTTAAAAGTATTTTATTGCATAGCTGAAGTGAGTTTTCATCATAAATTAGGTTCAAATAAATATTGAATATAATAATTTAAATCATAAGTCAGTTAAAGCTAGACCATCATGGAAAACCTGAAAGCACTGGACAACCGTTCCGTCCCAGTATGGAACTCTTCGGCACTGCGCATCCACCTATCAGTCTCGCTTACGAAAAATTGACCTCTAGACCACTGAGCCGGTATCCAAAGGCTGTCCAGTGTTTTTAGGTTTCCCATAGTGGTTTAGCTTCAATTGACTCATGAAATCAACTACAAAATTACTAAAATGTTTATAAAACCCCTCAATATGATCTAAAAGTGACGCGTTCGCGCTTGAGACTGATATGTCCTGGGTTCGAATCTCGTTATCCAAATTTCCCATGGTGGTTCAATTTTAATTGATACATGAATTCAACTATTAACTTACTTAAATCTCCACGAAACCCCGTTTTTGACAATATTGAATAATCATAATATTTGTAAATTTTTAATAATTTGAAAATAAAAACTTGTTTAATATAAATATGTCGAATGACTAGGAAAAAAATTGAATGAGAAAATGTACTTGGATATATAAAAGGTTTTAGTAATTTCTAATTTCAACAGTTGAAGCTCGACCACCATGGAAAACCTGGAATCACTGGATGATCGTCTCGTCCTATTGTGGTACTCCTCAGCAGTGCGTATCCACGATCCCACCCCGCGGGATTCGAACCCAGGACCTATCAGTCCCATGCCAGGCGCTTAACCAACTAGACCACTGAGCGGTCCAGTGCTTCCAGGTTTTCCATGGTGGTCTAGCTTCAATTGACTAATGATCTCAACTGTTGAAATTAATAAAATCTCCACAAAATCCCTTCTGATTCTAATTTCTAATTTCTTTAAAGATGTCATTCATAAATTTGAAGAAACATTTACTGAAAACAAATTTTATATATAGAAGTTAAATTTCATTTTCTATCTTGTTTTTATTAACTAATTTCAATAATAAAAGCACAATCAAATTAAAAGTTTAAAAGGACAATTAACAAATGTCATGACAGAAAGAAATGAGCTAGAAGAATCATTAAAAGTTAAAACAGAAAAAGAGAAAGAAACATTGAAAAATCTAAAACAACTTCAATGTGATTTGAATGAATTAACCGATAGGTAGGTGAATAAATAAAGTAGTAAGTCATATACTTACCTTCCTTTAAATTACTATATATATATATATATTACGCCTGTTACTCCTAATGGAGCATAGGCCACATTCCATGTACCTAAATAAATGGTTGTTCTGGTCATCAGAAGGGGCATCGGCCTCGTGACTTCCGAAGGAACTCGGCTTTCACCTTGAGGCGTCATAACTCTTCTAAGTGAAGACCTTCTGACTTCCAGGGCAGAGTTTAAGAAGTTTGAATAATTTTTTCTGGTTAGCGTTGTTTTAGCGAGTTATTTTTCTACGGGATGTGGTCGCCAACACCATGCCCAACCCTCCCCCTTCATACGAGCTTGTGACCGGCAGTAGCCCACGTAGGGACTCCAGGAGGAGTTATATATATATATAACCAGGTTACTCAGTAAGTACCCAATAAGTTTATATGTAATAATAGTTCATAAATAATTCCTAGTAGTTACCATTTATTTATTCTTCTTTCAAATATAACACCTATCGAAACTGCATATCGCTTGAAGGAATAGATACGTAGTGTAATTTTAAGTATACTACCCAATTGCCGAAAAAAATCTTTTTACAATATAATCTTAAGCTTTTGCGTTTGTTAGTCGAGAATTGAAAACTAGATTGAAACATCCTTCTAGTTCTTTTGAATGTTTTTTCTGTGAAGTTATGATTCAAAGATGGAAATTATCATTCATTAATTGACCGATAATTTATTTCGTACCTATTTTTTTAAATTTTCATTTTTATTTAGATATAAAACATTAGAATCAAAGTATAACATGTGTCTTGAAGATTATAACAAAGAATTAAAACAAATTCGTTCAGATCACGCTAAGCGTATATGTGCAATGGAATTAGAACGAACAAATAATGAAAAACAATATGAAACTAACCTGGGAAAAATTAAAGATGAGGTACTTTTGATAGAATATTTTAAATGATTTATTCTAATTTTAGGTTTATGTACATGATTTGTCTGGTAGATGCACAAAATGAGCTACTACTATACTTATCGGTAAAGCATAAGAAAAACTTCAAGGAAATCTATTCAGTGGTGAGTGAAGTTTACGGAGATAATGCGTTAAAGAGGAATGATATTTTCGAGAGAATCGTGGGTTTCAATAACGACAGTAAAAGCTATAAGAATAATGAAAGGCCAGAACAACCACCGACCTCCTGGGTTTACAATGTTGTTTAGTGTATGGGAGTATCTTGTGATTTCCAGTTGCCGATCTGCTTCCCAGATAGTAACTGATGAACTATTTCTGGTTGTCTGTGAAAACAATTTAGGTAAAATATAAAACAATGGGAGATGATGACCGAGGTTACAAGGACTTACGGCGATGTTTTTTAAAAATAGAAATGGAGATTCGACAGGTGTACCGTCACAACTTGAGAATATTTTGTAGGGTATGATACTGATATGCTCTAAAGTTTGTAAAATAAAGATTTGTTTAAGTTAAACCATGTATTTGTCCGACAGTAGTACTGTGGTGTATGCTACTTATATTGATATAAGCAGTATATTGTGCGAGTCACGAATGTAATGTCTGGCAGCAGAAGATGAGGGAAGATCAAGAAAGCAAGAGCGGAAATAGAATGCAATTTGTATGAAAATGTAAGAACAATGAAGTCTGAGGCATTTGAGACGATTGGTGAACATTTTGCAAATTAACAATTTAATATATCGTTTAAAGATCCCCGGCATATTAAAAGACTAGTATTTGAACGAAAAATATTCTTTTCGATAAATTCTCATCAGGTTCTACAGTTATATATATCATATACATGATTCATTCACTTCGCATTCAACCCTCCGTATTATTTGATCGAATTGTAATTGCACCATTATTTCTCTCTCACCCTATTTGACCCACATTTATTCTGATCATGGATCCTAAAATTTCACTTAACATATACGCAGATTCAAGTTAACATTTTATCTGAGTCATATTAACATTAACAATTTTATTGTATTTTGTTTATCACAATCCTAAATTCACATGCTCTAAACGATGTACTTTGCACTTAACCTAGTCATTTTTTCGGATTATTAATTTGGATATATAATTGTAGAACCTGATGAGAATTTATCGAAAAGAATATTCTTCGTTCAAATACTAGTCTTTTAATTTAACATATGGTTCTCAGATTTTATTGAGAAGATCGCCCGTGTTCTCTTCACTGCAGTATAACTGATTAGCAGAGTTATTATTTCAGAGATGTGGTCAAAGTTTAATGACACTTATTAACTGACAACCATCTTATAATATATTTCAGTCATTTGCAATATTTGATTTTATGAAATATGTACTTTAAGATGTATCCTTAAATAAAATACACGGTAATTCGGAAGCAAAGACTCTGTGAAGTCTTTATTGACCTTCTTGAACAGAATTTGCAAAATATTCATTTAAATAAAGCAAGAACAAATATTGGTGCAGAATAGTATGAATTCATATTATTTCGAGGTTTCTCGTCAGCTGCTTACAAACCAAAAATGTGATAGAATTTTTACATTGAGATAGAGTGAAAACAATTGACATAGATGAGTGTAAATAACTGGGTTACAATAATAACTATATTAATATATATATATATGCTAGAACAGGTCAGAGGTCAAAAGGAATTAAGTCGGGTTGGGTGGTGTAATAATGGAATTGGATAATCATAAGATAGGTTACGTAATAATAATTAAATAGAATTTGAAAAGTTAAGATAATCTAAGAGGATCAGGTGGCGGAAATGTGTGAATAATAATGTGGTTTAAGAATTATGTAATAGGGGAGGAGTATAGATATTTTAAAATAAATAAATGAATAAAATAACCCAAATAACCAAAACACACAAGACAGGGTTACCAGGGTAGTGATAAGTTTATTAAAGTCTCTTTTTGAATGCATAAGTTCGGTTTAAGTTTTTTGATCATAATGGCTTCAGCAAAACGGAGGGTGGTCGTAATTCTTTGTCTATTGATAATTTTGAAAGCATGCGGAATGTCCACGGTGTGTCCGGTGTCAAGTAGATGTCGAGCTATTGCGCTGTTGAAAGCCTTAGTCCCTCGCAGCCTCAAGTTTTTTGGAACATGGTCAGAAATGCGGACATGCACTCTTCCCTCAGTTCTTCCAATGTATGTGCTTTGGCGCGTACATGTGAATTGGTAGATGCAGTTGGAGCTACTTAGAAAAGAGGGCTTGTCGATTTTGGTTTGTTGAAGTGAGCAGTTCGTTTGCCATACTGTCATAAGTTTTGCTGCTGGGTGGGTCACTTTCAACGCAGAGTTTATTCTGTGATTAATTATTCCGGCAATTTCATCACCTTTGAAGCGTAAGTGTAAGAAGCAGGTTTTCTTTTCTACTCCATCGTATTTTGTACGAGGATTGGTTTTTGCATATTTCTGGATAAATTTCAATGGGTATTCATCATCACGTGGAACATTAGTAATCAGATTAATTTCATCATCCAGGTATTCTTTTGAACAAATTTTTTGAGCGCGGTCAAAAAGGGTTCGTACAATACCCTTTTTGTAACTCATTGGGCAGAAACTGTGGTAATTGAGATATAGACCACTCCATGCATTTTTATGGTGAATATGTATATGTAATTTACCATCAGATATTCGTCGGATCCCAACATCAAGGAAATGGAATTTGTCTTCAGCTTCTTGTTCCATAGTAAACTCTATGTCCTCGTGTGCTTTATTAAATAGATCGAGTGGCTTAATGGCGTGTTCGTGATTGTTGCAGATGAGGAATGTGTCATCAATATATCTACAATGTAGCGTAGTACCATCGATTGCGTGTTTAAGCTTTTTTTGTTCTAGGTTTCCCATAAATATATCGGCAAGAATTGGGCCCAATGGGCTACCCATGGCAACTCCATCGATTTGGCGGTAAAGGACATCATTGGATTGAAGTCGTATGTTTTTTGTACACAAAAAGAGGAGTTGTTTAAACTCATGGATGGGTAGGGGTAGAAGTTCAGGATATTCACATATGGTCTCTATCGTTTCTTCCAAGGGGATGTTTGTGAAGAGCGATGAGACGTCAAATGAAACCATAAATTTATCGGAAACATTTAGGTTGCCGAGTTTTTGTACAAATTCAAAACTATCTTTTAGACTGTAAGGCGTTAGTTTCTTTCGGATTGGTTCTAGGCACTTTGTCAGCCAGCGGGCGAGTTTATGGAAAGGCGAATTAGTCATGGATAATATTGGTCTAATCGAGATGTCGTGCTTGTGGGTTTTGGGTAGGCCGTATAAGTACGGTAATTGTGATCCTTTAGGTTTAAGTTCATTGTATGTATGATTATCTATTAAATTATCAATGATAAATCTGGTGGAATCATTTGAAGTAGACATTATTTTGCTAATGTATTCATCTCTGTTAAGAACAACTACACCGGAACCCTTATCTGGACGAAGTAGCATTATTGTTTCATCTTTCACAAGTTTTTTCAAAGCTAGTTGGTGATCTTTAGTCAACATTTTCGATTGTAGGGTTGGTATCGTTATGTACTGGTTTGTAATGTCAACTAATTTCGATAACCGAGTCATTCTGTTTTTACTTTGGAGATTAGATAAATGCAACAGAATAGACACTGAAACTCAGTTTGAGTATTTATATCAACAGTTGTCAGAACTTAAACCCATGAACGATGAAAAACATAGTTGGTTGAAATCGAAATTAGTTGACATTACAAACCAGTACATAACGATACCAACCCTACAATCGAAAATGTTGACTAAAGATCACCAACTAGCTTTGAAAAAACTTGTGAAAGATGAAACAATAATGCTACTTCGTCCAGATAAGGGTTCCGGTGTAGTTGTTCTTAACAGAGATGAATACATTAGCAAAATAATGTCTACTTCAAATGATTCCACCAGATTTATCATTGATAATTTAATAGATAATCATACATACAATGAACTTAAACCTAAAGGATCACAATTACCGTACTTATACGGCCTACCCAAAACCCACAAGCACGACATCTCGATTAGACCAATATTATCCATGACTAATTCGCCTTTCCATAAACTCGCCCGCTGGCTGACAAAGTGCCTAGAACCAATCCGAAAGAAACTAACGCCTTACAGTCTAAAAGATAGTTTTGAATTTGTACAAAAACTCGGCAACCTAAATGTTTCCGATAAATTTATGGTTTCATTTGACGTCTCATCGCTCTTCACAAACATCCCCTTGGAAGAAACGATAGAGACCATATGTGAATATCCTGAACTTCTACCCCTACCCATCCATGAGTTTAAACAACTCCTCTTTTTGTGTACAAAAAACATACGACTTCAATCCAATGATGTCCTTTACCGCCAAATCGATGGAGTTGCCATGGGTAGCCCATTGGGCCCAATTCTTGCCGATATATTTATGGGAAACCTAGAACAAAAAAAGCTTAAACACGCAATCGATGGTACTACGCTACATTGTAGATATATTGATGACACATTCCTCATCTGCAACAATCACGAACACGCCATTAAGCCACTCGATCTATTTAATAAAGCACACGAGGACATAGAGTTTACTATGGAACAAGAAGCTGAAGACAAATTCCATTTCCTTGATGTTGGGATCCGACGAATATCTGATGGTAAATTACATATACATATTCACCATAAAAATGCATGGAGTGGTCTATATCTCAATTACCACAGTTTCTGCCCAATGAGTTACAAAAAGGGTATTGTACGAACCCTTTTTGACCGCGCTCAAAAAATTTGTTCAAAAGAATACCTGGATGATGAAATTAATCTGATTACTAATGTTCCACGTGATGATGAATACCCATTGAAATTTATCCAGAAATATGCAAAAACCAATCCTCGTACAAAATACGATGGAGTAGAAAAGAAAACCTGCTTCTTACACTTACGCTTCAAAGGTGATGAAATTGCCGGAATAATTAATCACAGAATAAACTCTGCGTTGAAAGTGACCCACCCAGCAGCAAAACTTATGACAGTATGGCAAACGAACTGCTCACTTCAACAAACCAAAATCGACAAGCCCTCTTTTCTAAGTAGCTCCAACTGCATCTACCAATTCACATGTACGCGCCAAAGCACATACATTGGAAGAACTGAGGGAAGAGTGCATGTCCGCATTTCTGACCATGTTCCAAAAAACTTGAGGCTGCGAGGGACTAAGGCTTTCAACAGCGCAATAGCTCGACATCTACTTGACACCGGACACACCGTGGACATTCCGCATGCTTTCAAAATTATCAATAGACAAAGAATTACGACCACCCTCCGTTTTGCTGAAGCCATTATGATCAAAAAACTTAAACCGAACTTATGCATTCAAAAAGAGACTTTAATAAACTTATCACTACCCTGGTAACCCTGTCTTGTGTGTTTTGGTTATTTGGGTTATTTTATTCATTTATTTATTTTAAAATATCTATACTCCTCCCCTATTACATAATTCTTAAACCACATTATTATTCACACATTTCCGCCACCTGATCCTCTTAGATTATCTTAACTTTTCAAATTCTATTTAATTATTATTACGTAACCTATCTTATGATTATCCAATTCCATTATTACACCACCCAACCCGACTTAATTCCTTTTGACCTCTGACCTGTTCTAGCATATATATATATATTAATATAGTTATTATTGTAACCCAGTTATTTACACTCATCTATGTCAATTGTTTTCACTCTATCTCAATGTAAAAATTCTATCACATTTTTGGTTTGTAAGCAGCTGACGAGAAACCTCGAAATAATATGAATTCATACTATTCTGCACCAATATTTGTTCTTGCTTTATTTAAATTCATATATGGAACCAATTTCATAAAATACTCATTATCAGTTATCATCACAAAGTCATTGATATCCATCAGCACCTCATCTGAATTGAAGTTGATTTGTATCTAGAAATTAATGACGATATTTTCTAAATATCTCTGGTCTTGTTCATGTTTCACTGATGATGCAGTTGAATAACACTTCTATGAACAATGATATTCAAGATTTATCAGCAAGGTTTCTTTACATTTACCTTTGATGTTTTCAAGCTAGTTAACTTTTTCATTGACTGACTTAATTCAAAATCACTTATCTTTATTGAGATAATGATGCGAGATCATTTTCACATTACAATCTTCATCAATATTATAACTATTAATTTAAAAAACTACTACATAGAATAAATTATGGAATTTATTAATCAAAAACTTAACGATGTACTAAACTTTAACTTATTTAAACATTCAAGAACGTTCTTCAGAAGAACGATGAAAGCTCCACGACCAAACCATCCAGCTCGGAGAACAAATCTCTATCAAAATCATCTACCTGAGCTACAAATCTTCTCCATCATCTTATTTGTCCATGTTAACCAGGCCTAAATGAGCAATTATTTCTGTTAAACGGTATCAAGTAGTCAGAAGAAAATGTTGGACTCAGGTTTTCTGTTAGTTTATACTCATCGGTAAGGCATAGCTACGATTTTAGGAGCATTGGTGTTTCATGGTGGATTTGAGCCTGTGTCACTTAGTTTTACAGTTCGAGATGTTACCATATAGCTATTAGGACGAAAACTCAACTCCCACAGGACTGAGATACATAAAAGTGACTTTTCACTAGGTAGTGACAAATCTTGTTTTCTTTATCATTTGATGCTAAGTAAATTCTGTCGATCAAGTTGCAATATGGCCATTAGTTTGAATAACTCAATTAGGGTTCCACTTGTAACTCAACAATTCAAAATCAAGTTCCAAGGTTACGTAGGTATATATTGGGTAATTTTAAGTTTTAAAAGCGCCTTAATACGCATAATATACTCTTATTTTACTTCGTTGATAAAATGAGACAATTACAATAGTATTCAATATAGTGGTGTATTTCATAATTACTGATTTTTAAAATTATTATGGGTCCTTAATTATAAGTGCGGGTATACTGGCCATTTCTTTCCATTATAACTTTTAAATATAATAAAGAAATGTCAGTTCTTGATAAAATTAACCGTATTTGGTCAGAAAAGCGTGATAAAACAATTACTGAAAGTTTGGATTGACTGAATAACTTGAATTCATAAGTTAATTTAGACTGTTCTTTAGTAAATTACTGTTTAATAGTTAATTTTTATTATGGGTAGAAAACAACATAAGAACGATTGAAATGGATAAATAATCAATGTTTTGTTGACACAGATATAGAGGATTTGCACTGTTAAGGAATTCTACTCTAGGACAAAATGGATGCCCAATACCTTTTGATTTTCAATATTTAGCTAATTAAATCAGTTTGTAGAGTAAAATTGCAGAATATATTCAGAAAATCATCTTTTGAATATTCACTAATAATATGAAAGTGGATCATAAATGTTTTACTTCTGAATACAATCAAGTCACCGGGATATTTTCTGGAGAAGAATGATCTAAGATTTTCCAAAAAAATTCTTTAATAAAATATGACTTGAATTGAAAAAAATGAATTAACCCCATTTTAGATATGACTAACCTCTAAAATGGTTTCGAGACATTCAACAGAATATAAACTTTGGTACAGCTGGCTATTTTTTTAGAGGAATAATCGGCAGTGTTTAACTTGTAATATAATGAAATAAATATTTGCATCTTCAATCCTGAATAGATTATCAAAGATAGAACTGTCTTTGGACTTCAGTATCACTTCACTTCAGTTGTTCTAAACTCTAGATTAGGATATGTAATGATGACTTTGAGGTATTTTTTCTTAATATTACCACTATTCGTTGAAGGTTTTAATGGAAATGTTAGTTTATATGTGTAAGGTGAATGGGTGATTAATCACACATTTAGATTTATTAATTTGGTCATTCTAGTCTTAGATAGGACTTTGTATTTAATATCACCTGACGTTCAGTTATAGTTGTAAAAAGTTGAATATTTTCATATACAACTACGAGCGCTTTATATCAGGAAGTCTATGTGGAATGTAAGGTTCGTTGCAATTAGCTTATTGACCCTTTGAATTAACCTATCACGTCAGTAAGGTATGAAGTAATTAACATTTTTCCAACAGTGATAATTATTAATCGAGATACCTTTAGGTTACAGTTAATGCCAAACGTAGTAAAGATAAGCAAAGATAGATGGTGATTAGCAGTGGAACACAGAACGCGCGTTTCGTCCTATTTGCAGCTCGTTAGCTGGATGCACCTGCATCCCAACTTTGATTTTCACTCTGGGACTCAAATCCAGTACCGTTTGTTCCAAACGCTATCGTGTTGTCTACTTAGCTACTGAGTCCTGATAGTTGTTAGCTTGTGCAATGTGGTGAAGTTTAAATTCATTTTGTATTGTTTGCTTGAATTTTCCCATTGCAAAAACAAGTGGCTATCAGAACTCAGTAGCTAAATGGATAACTTAATGGCGTTTGAAGCTAACGATATTGGGTTTGAATCCAGGAGTAAACATCAACTCTGGGGTTCAGATACATCCAACTCACGAGTCCCAAATAGGACGAAACGTGCGTCCAGAATTCTACTGCTAGCCACCATTCATCTTTGCTTATAATGCTTGTGACTTAAGGCAATATCGAGGCAATCTGCACAGGATGCACATATACCGACAAGAGACTGATCAATTGCAGTCCCAAACAAAAATGTGAAGATTCAAGTAAACAGTACATTGTAAAGATAGTCAAAATTTCTAGTGAAATATTCCTTGCTTAAATTGTTAAAAGCTCACTCATGGAAATCGAAAGAGCAACATCAAGTTATTTTACTGTCCATGATTCTCCTTTCTGTCACAATCAAAAAAGCATGAATAAGGCGACTTTTGTTGTGGAAGAGGCTACCGAGGCACATTAGAAGATATTAGTTGTCGTTACATTAGACTTTCGTAAATATTTTGTTTAGTATCAACAATAAACTTTTATTTGTCACATAACATTCAGAGAAAATAAATCCTAATAAAAGTCTTTTTATTTGTTCTCTTTTCAAGTTTAATACAAAACTGGAAGAGAGTCGTTTGTCGTATGAACGTCAGCTAGTTACAGAAGTTAAGGAAGCTGAAACACGCGGTTATGAAAAATGTTTATTAATTAAAAGTAATGAGATTACAGCTTTACAAAAAACTATTAAAGAAACCAAGGAATTAAATTCAAATGATGAAGTAAACTGGTTTTTACATGATAAATTTAAAATATAGAAACATGTGTTTAGTACTTTTAAATAGTTAAAAAAAGCTTATTCATGTTTTCTAGGATTTCATAAAATTCACATCTATAATAAATATTTAATAAATGTCACGATGAGACTATAATTTGTGGACGATCATTGAGCGACACTGAAAAGATCTTGAGAATATTCACGTTTACGCTATGACGAAATGAAGGTTATAAACTAGTGTGAAGAATTTGAATTATGATTTACGGTTGATAATTAGGATTAGGAATTAGATTGAGGATTTTCATCACGAACTAACATCAACTATGATGCTAAAACTTTATTTATTTAGCCAAATGAATGAATTAATTTTGCTCCAAAATTCAAGACCTGTTATCGTAAATCTGATTGGTTTGTTCGTATATTGTAGTCTCACCGATTTCAATCACTGTTGACTTGTTTAACAAATCATTTTGTTGACTAAACTATATTTCTTTTAAAATTGTTGGTTAAAGTTTTCAATTCAGTTACTTCTAAATGGAAAGTCGTAGGGCTGTACGAGTAATAAGTGTTAGTCTTTCATAGTGTATGATATATGTAAGGAGTTATCAAAGGACTACTTGTATTTTGGTATCGAACTATTGTGTTATAAAACTGTTGACTAACGAATATCTGGAAATTATTAGTTCATATTTTTTTATAGAATTTCGCAAATGAATTTACTTAGTTTGGTCTAGGTTTTGGAACATTGATTAAGATAGGAACAAAAAATTATAAAGCTAATTACACCATGAAATAAATAAACGGAGGTTAATGATATATATATGGATAAGTTAAGCCTTGTAGGTTAATTAATGAAACTATAATCAGGAAAAGAGTAAAAAATGATTTGATCAAATGAAAGCAATGGATTAAAAAGGACTCATTCAAATAAAGGTAATGTAGGCAGGGTAACAGAGGACTGATTACCAAAAATATTTTAAACTACAGAGATTGGATTTCAAGCGCTTAACAGTTACAACTTCAGGAGACTTGAGAATACTAGCGATGGGTTGTTTATAAGTCACCTTTTAGGATTTCAAGGTATCTTTCTAATGATTTATGTTAATCGATCATCAAGAAATCGCACTAATGGGGGTCTTGGCATTCCCTAAGCACAAGCTTTCTGGAAGGTATTCAAGCACTATAAATTGGCCCCCTTTTTTCTATTACATCAATATAATTGCCTTGACAAAAATGAATAAATTTGTACTACCTGTTAGTCGTGAAAGTGAATATTATTCTTGTGTTGGTACTTACCAATCGCACATATCGTGGGAGGATATCTCTTCTAGATGAATATGGAAAAGAAGTAGTGCTAGTAGTGGTCTTGTTGACTTGAGAGTGTTCACAGAACTCAAACGATGACTGATATACATCTATCTCTTTCGGTGTTTCGTGAATAGCTATGTCTGCATCAACTATGCAATTCTCAGATCTTATCACTTACAATGGAATTCTACAGATTAGGTTGAGGTTCACTATCTTTTGAATTAAATGTTTCGAACCCTTTCTGGATATAGAATAACAGGACTGTAATAGATTCTAATTATCTATGGGAAACATTCCAACTACAGTAAATAATTTGACTTCGGCTGTGAATGCTTAGTTTTCCGTTCTAAAACTAACCAGCGTGGGGTGGTTTGGGTTAAAAAACAATCTCGTTTAGTTAATTAATCTTTATTGGCTAAACAGGAAAAACAACCCTGGGCACTGTATCAAGTCAGTTATTATGGTTACTTGTCAACCAATAATCATCTTAATAAACATGTTGTTCAACACAAGATGACCAATTTGATCGCATAATAGGTTCTGGTTGATAAAGTTTATAGCTTTCTGTTGATTTTACCTGCAACATTATTATTTTTTCAAAAAAAAACAATGATTGTTTTGTTTACTTAAATGTAGAGTTTCTTGTAGAAAAATAGTTTGATTGACTATTTCCTAATAACTAAAGAAATTATTTATAAACCATAAACATATTTTCAATAATATACTAATATAAAGGTGTCGTAACTTTAAGCCCACCTAATTCACACGTGATTTATTCGCTAATCAAAATACGACTTATTCAATTTCAGTACTGTATGAGTAGTCTAGTATCCGTACTCTTCCTTTGTTCGTCTAATCCGTCCAGTTGAGTCCAGAACTCCAATAACAGCTTCCAATATGTGAATCATTTATTTCAATCATACTTGGTTTATATACCAGACAAACAAACAGCATCACACCATGAACTAGAAAATAACATTTATACAAGATCAAGCCAAAATGTGGTTGTGAACGTAGGAGACTGTAATCAATAAACTGAACAAAACTTAAGAACAGTAAATCGTATAATAATCTATAAGTCGAAATGAAGCTTATAATAAGACGAATATAGATATACACAATATATTTACTGGATAGTTATACAATAAGAATATATATACGTATAATATTAGTCCATTAATAGTTCTCAGAAGTTACCCGTAATTTAATCATCGTTAGGATACAGAAAGATAATTTCAATAATTGAGATCATGAGTCGATTGAAGCTAGACCATCATAGAAAACCTGGAATCATTGGATGACCGTTTCGTTCTATTTTGGGATACTTCAACAGTGCGCATCCATGATCCCGTCTCGCGAGATTCGAACCCAGGTTTTATTGGTCACGTACACAAACACTTAATCTCTAGACCACTCAGCTAGCCAGCATCCAACGGTGTTAATGTCTAACTTCAACTAATTCACGAAATTGAGTGACACATCCACCACTGTCTTTAGTGAGCTACTATCACATAACAGATTCGAACTAGTGCTTCTAAGTCTGGCTTCAATTATTGAAATTAACTATAATATTCAATAAATAATTTAATTACTTATTTTAATTTATTTAGATTAAATATCAAGAAATAATTAGCCAATTAAAATGTGAAATAACTAAATTAAATAAAAGTATTGAAAAATTAAAAAATATCTATGAATTAAAAGAGAATAATTTTTTAACAATCATAACAAAATTACAAAAAAAACAATTAAATGATACATTGAATAAAACAAATTCTATTCAAACATATTTTACCAATGAATTCAATGAAAAATTATTAAATTCTATTATACAATGGAAAAAACAACAATTAAATGAAATTATATTATTAATTAAACAAAAAGAATTTAATCAGCTAGAAATAATATTTAAAGAAAAAGAAAATATTATACGTAATGAATTATTATTAAAAATTGAAAATGTAAGTTATATATTATTCATTTCATAAATTAGTAGTATTTTAATGAAACAAAGAATTTTCCTATATACATACGATTGTACAGCTTGATAGTAAATTCATTGAAAAGAGATTCCTTTGTATTCAAATCTTTAAAAAAAAAGGCCGAATCTCATACCATCCATGAGCTCAAACTAGAACTATGCAAACAAAAGAAGTACGTCCTATCGTTATTGTTACCATGGTCTTAATTAATAATGTTGTTATTATTATTACTGCATTCCCCACTTTTACTTATGCTTCATATTCTCATTGTTTTATTCATAAGTAGTTATTATATCAGAATGGGTTTTGCGGAGATTGTAGTCATTTTAGTAGTAGACATCATGCGTCAAATGGCCGTCTAGTGCTTCCAGGTTTTCTATGGTGGTCTAGCTTCAATGGATTCATGATCTTAACCATTTAAATTACTATAATATCCACAGAACTCCTTCTGATATTAATCGGCATATGCTCACTAGTAACTGGCTTCAAGGTGTATATCCTGGAGTTCTAGTGAGAAGCAGTGACCAGTGGAGTTCAACCAAGTTTGTTGTGAGATAGTAACTCATTGAAGATAATGGTGGATGTGACGCTCAAATTCCTGGATTAGTAGAAGTTGGACAATAACACCGTTGGATGCTGGCTCAGTGGTCTAGTGGTGAAGCACTCTTTTGAGAAACTGATAGGTCCTGGTTACGAATCCCGCGGGGCGGGGTTGTGGATGCGCATTGCTGAGGAGCCCCAAAATAGGACGAAATGGTCATCCAGTGATTTCAGGTTTTCTATGATGGTCTAGCTTCAATTGACTCATGATCTCAACTATTGAACTTATCATATCACTTTATTTATTTATTTATACCTCTATGACCTTTAATTAATATAACAGAAGCATTTTAGTCATCTTAGTACATTCGCGTTATAACTCGTTATTGATTTATCAAGTCTATTGTTATTATTCGTATTACATAACCTGGTTTTATAATCTTGGTTATTCGTGTTCATACTTCCTCATGGAACTAGTACCTTAACAAAAAAGTTTTCAGATATATACGATTGTACAGATTGATAATAAATTCGTTGAAAAGAGATCCATTCGTATCCAACTCCTATTTTATTTGAACACATATATATTGGTACAGGAGTGCGCCAAATACATATGCGCCACACAATTTCAGTTCATTAATTGCGTGTGGGCTGCGATACTGCCCGGATGCCCAGGCCGAAGCAGGTGGTTATCATAGGGGGCCACACTCCGAGCCTTTGACCTGAAGGTCTAACCCACAAGGCAGTGGAGCATCGTAAGGAGATGCATTCCCATGGTAGCCGGTGACCGAAAATTGATTCATACGCCATTTGTTCCCGCAGGATACTGGTGCCCATGTGCACCATAGATTTGGAATCCGGTTAAAGCGCCCGACCGAAGCTGCTACCTTGACGCGGTGGTCGGGCATGCCTATCGTGATGACCCAACCGAGCTATATTGGCTGGAACATATGTTCCTGTAGGTTCTACCATGCCAGGCAGGTCGATTGGTGAACGGTAAGACTAAAAGCAGCAACTCAAGGTCTGAGGGCGATGTCGTACTGCTGACTGTAGAGAGGTGTGACAGCAGTAAGGTGTTTTCCTTGGACAACCAGCAACTGCAGCGATGCTGCCTTCCCACAAGGAGGGGTGGGGTTAGAAAAGGTCGACCCTAAAAATGCACACCTCACCTTACCTCACGGATCTCCGTCTCCGGCGGTAAGGCCCTTTGAAGAACGGAGCTAACACGTCAAAAAAAACCCACGAAAAGGCCGTGCGCGACCGGCCTCAAGCAGTTGTCCCTTGGGCTCTGCGGTCACGCTCCCAGGTCGTTAAGACCAACACTAATCCAATTTCCTTTTCAGGTTCCTCAAGAAATACTCTTCCACGGTGTGGGCAGCCGGGAAGTGACACCAGCCCTCATACCCGTAACAGCACAAGAGACCAAGGTGGTCATATTCAAGGCCTTCCTACACCTCCTAATACCTCTCTTATCTCCATGACTAACCCTCCTCACGTCTCTTTATCACCTCGCACCGCTAGAGCAAACGATTCGAGTACGTGGAACGCTAATCCTGGTCTCCTGAAACCACGCTCTAAACTACACGTAGGAGCTTTCAACGTCCGAACACTTTGCCAAATAGGACAGCAGGCTTCCTTAGCTAGGACTTTAGAATCTCGCGCCATCGATGTGTGCTGCGTCTCCGAAACGCGCATACAGGATCCAAGTAGCGTCATTCATTTGACCTCACCATGCCAAAATAAAGAACCGACTCGATTTACGCTTCGTGTATCTGGAAGCCCTGATTCTGCTTCCCGTGGCCTCGCCGGCGTAGGTATAGCATTGAGTCCTAGGGCAGAACTAGTTCTCTTAGATTGGATCCCAGTAGACAGTCGTTTGTGCGCTGTCCGACTGAATGGAACAATGAGGATCCGAAAAGATAGGGACACTCGTCGTTGCCTCTTCGTCGTCTCTGCCTATTCTCCCACTGACTGCGGCTCAGATGATGTAAAAGATGAGTTTTACAGAAAGCTTTCGGACCTTCTCCGAAAAGCTAAGCGCTCGGATGTAGTAATAGTGGCCGGTGACTTTAATGCTCAAGTAGGTAAACTAAGCGATAGGGAAAGACACCTAGGTGGATCTTATGGTGTCGTGGCTCAAAGAACAGATAATGGCGACCGTCTGTTGCAGCTATGCTCAGATAACCGCCTGTTCCTTGCAAATACTAACTTTAAGCATAAGCAAAAACATCTTTTAACATGGCGACCCCCTAATTCGTCCCAACGTTGGACCCAAATAGATCACATCGTTATCAGCCACCGATGGAGGGGCTCGATAGAAGACTGTCGCTCATTCTGAAGCACATGCCTAGATTCAGATCATGCTCTAGTGCGATCGCGTATTTGCTTGCGTCTTACTGGACGTAGGAAAGACGCTGCAAGGAAACCTCTTAGGGTCCTACTTAATGATAGTCAAGCTAAGAGTATATTTCAGGAACAACTAGGAAAACAGTTAGGCAGCCATGTATGTGATGCCCACCCCGATTCAGCATGGAATGATATCCGAAAAGCTGTGGAAACAGCAGTGATATCTGCTAGTAAGGTAAAACAGAAGGTTAGGGAGCAACGCTGGATCTCAGCAGCATCTATCGCACTGATAGATGCTCGGAAACTCATTCCACCTGGCTCTGAACATAATGAAGATCGGAGTCAGCTTAAGCGCAAGCTGACAAAAAGTCTACGCAATGATCGCGAACAGTGGTGGGTAGCGAAAGCAAGAGAGATGGAAAAGGCAGCGGCAATAGGTAATAGCAGACAATTGTTCAGACTCGTTAAGGAAACCGGAATTAGGAACCCGACCGTTAGCGAAACAATCTCAGAGAAAGATGGACATATTATTCATTCTCAATCCAGGAGATTGGATCGATGGGCAGAACACTTTAGGGGTCAGTTCAACTGGCCTTCAGCCACACTTCGGTTTCCCACGATCTCTAGTCAACCTGAATGGCAAATTAATGTAGGTCCTCCGTCCCTTTACGAAGTTGAAAAAGCCATAGGAAATCTGAAACGAGGGAGAGCAGCAGGCCCTGACAGGTTTACTCCTGAGATTTTTAAGGATGGTGGTCCAGTATTAGCAATGAGATTGAGGTCTTAGGTAGAATTTGGGAACTGGACGTAATCCCATCTGACTGGTCTCAATCACTGATTGTGCCAGTCTATAAGAAAGGACAAAAGTCCTCCTGTGACAATCACAGAGGAATCAGTTTGACTAATATAGTGTCTAAAATACTAGCCTCAATAATACTTCGACGCCTAATCAAAGCTCGTGAAGAGCAGATTAGAGAAAACCAGGCCGGTTTTCGACCTGGACGTGGTTGTATAGATCAGATATTCACACTACGTCAGGTTCTAGAACACAGACACACATTCAGACGCCCCACAATGGTAGTATTTCTCGACCTTAAGGCGGCATTCGACTCTGTTGATCGTGAGGTTCTATGGCAGTGTTTGTCACTGAAAGGAGTACCAAAGAAGTACATTGACCTTATAAAGGCTCTCTACTCGAACACAACTGGTAGAGTGAGAGCTTATGGCGAACTGTCATCAGAATTGATTACCTCAAGTGGTGTTCGTCAGGGCTGTCCACTCTCCCTATTCTTGTTCAACTTTGTGGTCGACGTACTTTTAGAGATAACACTCTCCTCATCTAAATTTCCAGGGGTTGAACTTCTACCGGGAGGTTCACTTGTTGACTTAGAATATGCTGATGACATAGTTTTATTTGGTGAAGACGCTGACAAAATGCAGAGTCTTCTGACCACTCTAAGCAACAATGCAAGCATGTTCGGGATGCGATTCTCTCCCTCGAAATGCAAAATGTTGCTTCAGGATTGGGTTACATCGACACCCGAACTAGTGATAGGGAGTGAAGTAGTTGAGTGTGTCGACCGCTTCACTTATCTTGGACGTCTCATCAGCCCTTGTGGTCTGGTTTGTGACGAAATCTCAGCACGGATACAGAAGGCTCGACTAGCTTTTGCCAACTTGCGTCATTTATGGCGTAGGCGAGATATCCGTCTATCAACCAAAGGACGGGTTTACTGCGCAGCAGTTCGTTCCGTCCTTCTTTATGGCAGTGAAACATGGCCGGTAAGAGTAGAGGATATACGTAGGCTACTAGTATTCGATCATAGGTGTCTTCGAAATATTGCTCGTATATCATGGGACCATCGAGTAAGTAACACAGTTGTTAGGAAACGGGTACTAGGTAAGGATAGCAAATCAATTGATGAAGTAGTGAAACTTCATCAGTTGAGGTGGCTGGGACACGTGTTACGTATGTCCAACGACCGACTGCCTCGACGTGCTATGTTCAGTGGTATAGGAGTAGGTTGGAAGAAAGCTAGGGGCGGCCAGACCAAAACATGGCACAAGTCCATGAAGTCACTGACAAGTGGACTGAGTCATGTTGGTAGGTGCAGACTACCTGGTTGGGGACCGCGAGATGATAGCAACCGATGGTTAGAGACCCTGAATGACATGGCTCAAAATCGTTTGCAATGGCGCAGGTGCATCCACTCTCTGTGTTCTCCCAAATTCTAATCTTCTGAATTCTTCATGTCCCTTTTTTCCTCTTTCCAAATTTATTTCACTGGATTATACTCTTTAAATAACATCTCCAAACCCTAATCTTCCCGATTACTGCTTATACTCTTATTACCTCTACCACTACGGGATTTGAATCGACAACTGCATCTCTGTGCTTATGTGGTGTGGCAACTCGAACTGATGTACGTACGTACGAAGTTCTACGTTGTTACTGACTGACTGACTAAAGCGCCGGACATTTGCTTTTCGTCCTCTCATTTTCGTAAACAACACCCCCGCCACAAGAAGGCAGTGAGTAGGACTTCCCTGGCAGAGGCTATATACGCGCGGTCGTGTGAGAGTATTTCGAGAGGGAGGGCGAACCCACCCCGCTCTCGGCCATACCAGGGCGTTTGGGGGCCTATTAATTTAATAGTTATTATATAAGTGAAAATTATATTTGATATAATCTCAGCAACTGAAAGTTAAGATAAGTTCAATGTTTCCTCTAGCAAACTTGTTTGGACTTCTTCAGGATAATATTCAAATTATTCTTTGTAATATTGACGAACATTCGTATATATCAGTTCAATATATATATATATATATATAAAGTATCGGTGAGACCATAATTCATGGACGACCTTTGAGCAACGATAAAGTGACCTAATAACTAGGACTATATCAGCCAAAAGTTTGCAAAATATGATATTGTTTATCAATCAGATATTTTATGTTTATGATCTATTGTTTGGCTTAGTGGAGAAAGTATATTTGTAATAATGCTAATAAATAGTTTCTTTCAATCAGTTATGCTAAGTAGAATGCATTTCTACAAATACAGGCTATTGAAATATATGAATTCTTATGTGTAATATGCGTACATTTATGTAGTGAACATAAATGAAGACAATCAGATGTATTTGAACACAAAATTACAGAATATCTTGGTAAAATCTGAAAACCATACAGTAAATACTTCATTTGCAAAGTATCAATCAATTGTTTCAACTTGACTGTTACTTTTTTTCCACACCAAGCACTCTGTCTTCTCGTTCTCTTCGATCTTTTTACACTTCTGCCGCCAGGTATTTCATTTTCGATTGATGACACATTACTTATATCTGTCGACATAAGTAGCACATACCACATTAGAACTAACTTTTATGTACCAAACATTTTTCTAATCTACATGTTGATAGATTTATTAGATGTACACCTTAACTAATAATTACTTAAATCATAAAAAACATATTTATTGTTGATTCGTAAATTGTTATTTACGGTTTGATAGATGTGATTATTGAGATTGAATAAAGGTTAATTTCCTTTAAACTCAAATCCTATCACAACCAGTGTTTTCTTTCCTTTCAACGGATCATCCGTTTTTATATAAAAATAATAAGAAAACAACTAAACAAATTAAAAATTTCAATAGTTGGGATCATGAATCAGTTGAAGCTAGACCACTATAGAAAACCTGGAAGCACTGAACGACCGTTTCCATGATGATCTAGTTTCAACTAACTCATGATGTCAACTATTATAATTACTATAATATCCACAAAAACCATTTTTGATAGATTATATAATTATAGTTGAATTTTTCATTGTTCAATAAAATTCTATACTTTTTAAAATGAAATTTTCAGATTCAAAATGAAAAAAATCAAATTATTGAAACATTGACTAATGCATTAAATTTATCCAAATTAGATATTGTAAAACTTGAAACTGAACTTAAAGAAGCTAGACGTATAGCAATGACAGAAGTGGAATTAAGACGTGAACAATTATCAGAAATAAGTTTAGCACGTGAATTAGAACGTAAAGAATTAATTAGTAAACATGAAAATAATTTAAATGAAGAACAGTGTAAGAATCAAGAAACGATTTTGAGATTACAAGAACAACATGCTGAAGAATTAAAAACAATAACTTATCAGGTATGTAATGTAATGGTATGGATTAAGTAGTTATATATGTATTATTATATATTTTATACTTTCATTGGAAACAGGAATAAAATGATATAGAACATTATAATGTGAAATATTCACGAATGATATAAATGGATACTGAAAAAGAACAAGTTTAGTTTAACATTCAGGATGAGAAATGAAAATATCACTGTCATTTTATGAAGTTATGAGTGTAAGAATAATTTTAATGGAGTTACATCTATCAATCTGGATAGGTTTACGCTTAGGTTTCAATTGTTGTAATCTCCATTATGGAAACAGAAATGCTAAATATGTTATGTTATCCTTAATAGTTTTCTTTAAAATAGTTTACCTCTTGAAATGATCTAAAAAATATATCAAAAAAGAAAGGAAAGTGTATATTTTTTATTTTTATGTATTTTATTTATGAAACCTGGCCTTTGCGAGTTGAGGATGTTAGACGACTCTGTGTTTGATTATCGTTGTCTCCGAAGGATTGCAGACATCCAATGGTCAAACCATGTTAGTTATGCAGAGGTTCAGCATCGTGTGTTCGAGCACAGAGACGATAATTCAATCGGTGTCACTATCTTGAAACACCGACTTCGGTGGCTTGAACATGTTTTGTGAATGTCGTCCTAGAGAATTCCTCGTCGTGCAATATTTGCCGACACTGGTTGGAAGAAGCGGAGAGGTGGTTAGTGTATAACATGGTGTTGTGGTATGAAATAAAGCTGAACAGGGCTTGTTCCTGTTGGTCCTTTCCGACTCCCTGGCTGGGGTCCTAGAGATGATTCAACACAGTGGTTAGAGATGTTATCAGATATGGCTCAGAATAGAAGCCAGCGGCAATCCTGCTGTAACCTTCTTTTAATTTCTTCATAAAAAGTGGCCGTAACTTCTTTAACTGAAAGGATTCTTTCTGGTTGTACCTTCCTGTTTCTTTCATAATAATTATTATTTCATTACCATACACTAAGTTGTAGTCATTATTGTTCTTTTTTCTTTTTACACGCACCTTACATTCTTTATCTCTTTCCATTCTCATTATTTACGTGTGGTGCATATATATCTGGTGTCCTCTTGTACGAATATTTATGTGTTCAAATAAAATAATAAAATAAATTTTTTACTCCATATGAAGCTTTCATTTCACAAATTTTTTATCAGAAAGTTTTGATTAAGCATTAGTCTAACTATTATAAATTGGTTAAACTCTGTTACGGTTTATGAGTCTTTTTTCTCCCTTTTAATTAAGGCTAATGAAAAATTGTTAGGAATAGAAAAAGAATATAAAACTCGCTTAACGGAAGCAAATAAAGTATGTATATATGTTAGTTTTCTTACATATATTGTTCTTCTCATTGTACATTTATAAATATTAGGTTTTGGAGTCTTTATGTTCTGCAGCAATTTGGAAGACTCTCCCGGTCTCCCACATTGTGCGAACATTCTGCGTACCTAAATAAATGGTTTCCCTGGTTATCAGAAAGGGGCGTCGGCCTCGTGACTTCCGAAGGAACTCGGCTTCCACCATGAGGCGTCGTAACTTTTCCAAATGTAGGCCTCCTGACTCCCAGGGCAGAGTTTAAATGGTTTGAATAATTCTTTCTGGTTAGCGTTGCTTTAGCGAGTTATTTTTCTACGGGATGGGGTCACTAACACCATGCCCAACCCTCCTCCTTTATCCGAGCTTGGGGCCGGCAGTAGCCCGAAAAAGGCTCCAGGTGGAGTTGGGTCTTTATGGTTTTTGTAAAACATGTGTACGACATTATTACGAATTGTTGTACTTGTAATTTAGGGAAATAAACCGATAGTCTAAAGGTATTTGTGAAGAATGAACAGAAATCAAATATCTAGGAATATTTCCTACGTTAAAAGTAACTATATTCGTAATTTTCACAGTGTCTTATAGGAATCATTTACCAGAGGCAACCTGGATCCCTTAACTAATGGATATTTAAGTTTAGCAGTCCGAAGTCGACCATTGAAATGCCCAGATTAACTATAGTGTATAAATGCTCAAGATCTTTTCTATTCTAGATATGTTATGACATCAATTTTTGTTGCAGCCGAATTATTAATCACTCCGTTATACTGATCCTTATTCTTAACTGTACTATTTAGATGGAATATTTTATCTATAAATAGTAGCTTAAATCACCTAATATAATGTGAACATTCAATTATCCTGTTTTCTTAAATCTATTCGGTTGGGATCCAAGAAATAATTCGGTTATTACTAATGATACTTTTAATTTCACATTAACTCAGAGTATTTCATAAAAACAATCTTCAAACTAACCCCATTCAACCTAGTTCGATTTAGGTTGAGTGAATAGTTTTATTAGCCTTTAAATTTAGTGTACCTCATAATCAAATACCTGGTGAATGAGTCAATTATAACTATATATTTGACAACTGACTGATGATAATTTTTTAATGATATCTCTTTTGTAAAGCGACTGAATGAAAGTCAAAAGAAAATAATTAATTTAGACATGATATTACAGAAAGCTTTACAAGAAAAAAGAAACACACAAGAAACATTATCTGAATCATTTCAAAGTGAAATTGAACAAATGAAGAATAAGCAAAAGCAAGAAGTATTGGTAGGTATTTATTATTAATATATAAACAGTACATACATAAACAGTATTATGCATATTGTTAATTGTTATGTAATGAATTCTATAAGTTTATCATTTTAAAATAGAATAGGTAAAACATTAGTACTAACATTCTTTTATGATTCAAGAGTAATAAATGTTTTCTCAGTTGATGAAAGACTTTGGAACAAAATATTACAGCATGATTTACATAAAATTCAGCTGAAAAGTAATAATTTCCAACGACTTTTCTGTTCTTTATATATATATACAGTTCTGTTTATAATTACGCTTAATGAAGACGTTTATTATTGACTAATATTATCAGTATAATCTTTGGAAATATGAATAAAATGTTGCTTTATGAAGCAGGAAATAACGAGTATTTTTCAGGTTCGACAAGGTAGGAACTGCTCCAAAATGTGAAATTCTCAGAATTAAATGCATAGTTGATGACATACAAATAAAATGGTATATATATCTAAGCTTACATTTCAAACTATAGAATAATGTATTAGTTATACTTTTAGTTTTTACCGAGTTTTTTTTTAATAAAGGTAGAGGAGATTTAAAGCTTAGCAGAAAAATTCTCACGATGTTGTGTTTTCTGGGCTGGACAGTTTAACCATGAAGTTCTCTTCATTTTTAAAAATAAGTTCCCGGAGTAAATTCAAAGAGAAATTGGCTTTTTAAATTACCCCTGACGCCAATAAACAGCTTGTTATGCCAACATCAAAATTTCAGTGGTCGCTGGCAATACTTGTACAGTCATTGTCTATAAATTCTTTTTTATGGCATTTTCCACTATCTGACTGATGAATATGTAGTCATTAATCTATTTTCTCATTAGTCAATAAACTGGATATATTTCGATATACTTATTGACTACTGAATGATCAAACTGTCAAGCTTTTGGAAATTTTTTGGTCAATTTAGGTGTTGCTCCTGATGAAGATTTTATAATTTTTCAGTCTAATTAATGTTCGTATCGCTTGACTTAGGTGAGGATATTTCGTGATATTTGATATTAAGGCAAAACAGAACGTTGACATTTTGGGAGGATGCAACATATAGATAATTTTTCTTTGGGGTTCTAGTTGGTGATTTTGCCTAGGAAGACGAAGAAATATTGATTAGACCACTCGGCTTTATGATCGAAAACTTACATCGAAATTCCTTAACAGCCGATACCGATTTAATAACAGAAAAACGTGAAGCATTACCGGGACCATGGAGTTGTTTTAGATGCAGACTCGAACGTGAAACTTGTGCTGTACCAAAATGTTTGTTTATTAAATACCTTTGATCAGACCTATGATATGAAGTGCGGTCAATCGACTGGCATAACTCAATCTGAACATTACACATAGTATTTCATACTTTACATCGCGAACTGATCCTAGATAATAAGTGAAAACCAGGAAGTAGCGGATATCTGTTTCTTCCTCCCATGGAAGCACATCAGGGATCGGACCTAAGACTTTCAAATTACTACTTGGTTGAAACCCGACGTGTAGGCCAATGGATGACAGACCAGTAGTCTAACGGTTGAATTCTTTCATCAAGACCTGGAATTCATGAGTCCAATCCCCGCTGTGGTTGTGGGCGAGGGCTCCAGAGGAATCGCATACTATGGCGAAATAGCTGCTCAGTGCTTCCTGGTTTTCGATACTCATCTAATAAGGCAATTCAGTGATGTAAACCATGGAAGCTAACAATCTTCACAACACCTTGTTATAAGAACTACACAGTATCTCAGTCTCATTTAACTCACTGTTGGTTTAGCCAATCAGAAAGTGAATGAGTAATGGATATGAGAATGCAGCGAAAACAGGAATGTTTCTACCCCCGTAAAAGGAGTGCGGTGATTTATAAACACTATACCATTCTCCATATGATTCCGGATTTAAATAATGATTTTAAACGATACCCTTATCATAGTTGTGTTAAGTTTATGTGCAAGACATTGTATATAACAACCGGATATATTAATTACTTGCTCCTCTTCTGTAGATCTTGAAGGAGGCTATATCAAAAGAGCGCAATAGAGCACGTTTAGCAGAGATTTCTCTTCGTCAGCAAGAAAAGGCGTGGAACGATATGAAGACTCGCTGGCATGAAGAACGTATAGCACAATTAGGAAATTCATTACCAATTGAATCCCGTACTCATATGGAGGCAACTATTGAGGCATTACGTCTTCAGGTTAGTTATATGTAGTTTAATTTAGACTCTTTGACCCATTAGTTATTATCAGAAAACTTCGAAGACCGTCCATGCCAAATGTAGATATTTATGTAGGCTTTTTAACGAAAATAAAATCTTCAGTGAAACAGAAGGTACTAGTCTGTTCGAACTGTTATTTGTGAAACAATGACAAATAACATACCTTGGGACTCATTTTTTTGGAATGGATTTTAAGGGTGTTTGTTTGTCCCATCATGTAACATAATGCTGATTAGTATATTTCCTAAATATTATTTCTTATAACGTAATCGGATTTAATAAATCACAAAGAGACATAGTTGGTTATAATATAGGTAAATGCATTTACATTTTTGCTAAATTAAAAATAATTATAGAGAACGGGAATGAAGGTGATAATACCTTTGGTAGATATGGTCAAATAAAGTCTCATACTGCTTGATGGCGATGTCAGCCGGTTCAGCATCAATAATTACAATTAATTCTTTTTAGATAACCATTTATTTATGGCGAACACCTTTCTACAGGTAGATTTTTCCTGGTATTTACCGTTTCGGATACTTACGCACAGATCCTGAGACAGATTCAAAGAGTACAAATAATGTTATAGTAGGTAGGCAAGCTAATGAAAAGGAATGTTTTGAAGGCTTGTACGAGAACCCTAAGGATAATCGTTTTCTCCGTCAAAAACGAAACAAATGAACGCATTAACTACTTCACTTCTTGCTGCATCGGAATCGATAAACTGGTGGTTCGACCAGTTGCTGACTACTTGAAGGATATTTGTCTTTAAGCGTCTTCCTGTCAACTTTACATAATAGTGTTCTTCGAAAAGACACACTGGGACTAATCAGTTATTTCTGCTTTTCAATAAACAAGGTTAATCTACTGAAAAAGCGAATAACCGTAATGGAAGAAGATCGGGAGACAAACATCACTTACCCACTAAAGTTACAATTCAGTGACCAAGACGTATCATTACTCAGTGAAGACTCAGTACAAAATGAATCTCCAGTAAAAGATCAACCTGAAGCAAACGAAGACAATTTAGAAAAATGTAAAGTGAACAACAATTCACTTCCTTTAGGAGATAACTCACGACGGAGAATTGCGGCTGAGTGTACAAATTTACAGACTAATCTAGACGCATATCTTTACGAAGCTACTTGTTCGGAAGATTGGTTATTGAGCGGACACTGACAGACTATCATGCTCTAGGTTTTACAAGTTATTATTTATGCTTTTAAAACAACAATTGTGTAGCAGATTTGTCTGAGAAATATTTTGAAATCAACTTGGCTATACATCTTGTATGTTAAAAAAACTTGTACTAAATGATATAATATAAAGTGTATTGCAATTTTATACTCTTTGTTTCATTGTAAAAATAAGTGCGAAAGGGTAATGGACATCACAATCGGAACTAGGTAAATAAAAATACACCACAAAGTATTTCTTTACGAATTTGACTTTTTTCGTTTCCTGTTCAATTTTTTGTGCTTTAATACTTTATTTACATTTGAAATAGCCGCAGCCAGACGGGGTGTTTGAAAAGGGACATTGTGGAAATCACCCATCTCTGAAGAACCATTATTAACAAACTTGGCCTCGTTTTTATTGGAATCACGAACAGTATCACGTTTTTTCCGAATAGTACGGGATAAGCGACGACGACTAGGTGGATGATCTAAATTTGATTTAGATGTATCCCCTTTGTTTATAAAGTCTGAAAAACTGTTACCCCCAAAATCAACAGGCAGTTGACAATCTTCTCCTGGGAATTGAGATTTAGAAAATAGGATAGCAATCCCCGGTTCTTCCTAGATAGAAACACATAAACGACAAGTTAGTAATGAATATAGCTTCAAATAACCAAATTATTGGATATAACACTTATAGACGAGAAAAAGCATGAAACCATATTTTTTGATGTATTAAGATCTAATCACTGAGTTCACCATACCCGCATATAATTGTGATGGAAAATATAGGTTATATTTTCATAATATATCCTAACAGAAAGACTAGTTGGGCTATAGCACAACGTTTTACACAATAGTTTCGCGAAAGATTTTAGATGGCTTTTACATGTTGGCTCACTGTAACTGGGGACACATAAAGTTAAGATAACTTTGGACGGTATGTTTATCTAGTTATTGAAATAAGTAGTAGACTTGCTAATGAAAGTTGATATCTTAAAAAATCTTGTCCACCGACTTCCAAAGCTTCAAATATATACGTCCCAACGATGACTACGACAAAAATTTCTAAAGGGACTGGTGATATCTCCTCCTAATTCCATTGAAGATATGATGGAGGTGAATTATTTCGTCTCATACATTTACGTTTGGCAAAAGGAATGAGGATTTACCAACTAACCTATATATGTGGCGACCATGAAAAACGGAAACATAAATTAGGAAAGCACATGGGAACAATGAAGTCAATCAGTCAGCTACAACGTAGCACCAGGCACATATATGCATCGGTCCAAGTTGCCACACCTCATTACAAAACAAAGTGAATACCGAATTCATAGAAGCAGTTACTTCAATGGCAGTAATATATAAAAGAAAGATAAGGACATAATATAATATAGAGAAAGATATAAAGTAACTTCAAGGACTGATACCACGTTTGGGTTTGGCCTCCCCTTTATTTTATTTATTTGAACACAAATATTGGTACAAAGGGGCACCGAATACATATGCGCCACAAAAATAACTTGATTTGTGTGTGAGCCGAAAGCAAAATAAAATTAAATACTTTTTAAAACATTGGGATGGAACCGGATAAAAAGTTGTGAGGTAATAGGCTTTCATGTTAAGCTATATCCAAAGTAGCTGCTAACTTATCTTGATGGTTGAGCTTGGGTATAACAATGACCCAACCGAGCTACATAGACCGGAATACTCGATACTTTAGATCCTACTATGCCAGGTAGGTCAGTTGGGGAACGATAAGACTAAGAGGACCAGTAAAGATGGATTGAACAAAGACAAGGTGATATCTAGTGCTGTTAAAGTATGAGGGTGTTTTTTATTTCTTGGTTGCTCATACGTGGAAGGATACTTCGTCTTGAGGTACCTGGAAAGGAGACCGGGATGGGCTAGGTCTTGATGACTTAGGGACGTGACCACAGAGCTCAAGCAGTTACTACTTGAGGTTGGTCACACACAGCCTTTATGTGAGAAGTTTGAGACGAGCCAGCTATGTACCGTTCTCCAACTAACCTGTCTGGTATGTTAGGGCCTAAAGGATCATGTGTTCCAGTGCATATAACAGCTATTTTTGAGTACAATAGGTCTATTTATTCCAAAAGGTTTACTAGCAATATATGGACTGTAGTGTACACATTTGCTGTCATACTTTTTGAACGCGCAGTCTTTATTCGAAAAACAAGGTGAGTCACTTCCTAATTTTCTATGCAGTTAGACCTTTATACGCAGAGATAAATTTGTCAAGATTTGGATATTATGGAAGAGAAGTTAAGTGTTAAAATCGCCAAAAGTAAAGTAAACAATTAGGGTCATTTGACGACAAGTGTCAGAAAGACAAATTGAAGTATTTGAGTGATACCTAATACTTATGATGTAGATTACAATTAAGTTACTTTTTACAGATGTTGATAAAGGTTTATAAAGATAAAACTAAGTAGTAGATAACCGATCTTACCAGGGTGCAACTTATTGTTGTATCAGGAACTGAGCAATTACATGATTGAATATGCAAGCGACTACATTGGTACATTTTTGGTGGGCTGGCACCATCTAATTGTGATGTCTGTGAGATTGTATTGAGTACAATGCTTTTGAACATCTCAGCACACGCAACAGTCTTCGCGACAGCGCCATGCTTGCTCCACCATATAATCTGTGCAAAATGTAGCATAGTAAATTAATCACTAGGGCATTTTACTGAAACTGTAAATGCGACCTAGATTGTTAAATGCTATTATAACGATCAAGCTCTTAAAAGTAAGATGGCAGATAATGGAATCAGAATAGTAGTTTCAGATCTCTTGAAACCTAATCCAAGATTATAAAAAGTCAGATATATTTGAGACCATTAATAACAGTAAAGAAAAGTTATAAATGTCAGTTTTCATGAAACAATCGTATGGGATGGTGAATTTGTTTTTGCCAATTGTAAAACAGAACCAATTTAGTATTTTTAAAGCTTAAAAGACTTTTTACTAAGTAGACAGTACGGAGCTCAAGGTTATATTCGAATAGTACCCACACATAAAATCTTGGTTATATATGATTGGGAAATTGACAAGCTGTAGTTTACTAATTCATTTCCACTTTAATACCGATCATGATAGTCTTTCGCCAAGCGCAATACATTCATGATTGACACAAAAATAGTAGGTGAAATCGTAGTGAAGCATTTTTTGCAATGACACTTGTTTGTTACTAGAATTTATCAGGACAAGTATACATTTAACTGAAATATGTAACCAATGACCTCTTACATATGATGGGTAAACATCAAGAAATTAATTTACCCAGGTGGCAACCACACGTACCTAGAAAATATGAACTCATTATAAAACAATAAATCCAGGGGAGTAATCACTGTGCAGTCATGTTCAATGTTTCTTATAACTAATATAACTCACTGGCTGAACCTAGCGCAGATAGAGTACTTCTTATGCTTCTTGATGGTATGAAAAAACTGCCATACAGTAGATTATAATCCAAGTTGGTAGTCGGATACACCTTTTGTAAAGCTTTGATTGAACCATTTCTTCCCGAAACTTTGTTTTTGGGTCATGCAGACGCGTAAAACGAAAGCAACTATTTCAAACAACTGGAGCTACTTATTGTGCTTTAATGAATACAGGTGTAATCGTTTACCAGGCAATACTGAAATATATAGGATGCTTACATGCAGTGGTCAAAACTACTAGCATAAGTCTTTCCATTTAACACAAATCTTAAAAACTATGAACGATTCTCGTCGAATACTCATATAAAGACGGCAGTGATTAATAGAATGTAGACGTAACTTAAGCTAGGATAGGCAACCCTAGTCTAGTTCTGGTAGGTACACTGATTCACAGACTTTCAGTACGTGAACGAATTTATCAAGATTATAGTTCGTATATTCTCTTTAAAACATGATAGCAACAGAAAGATGTACATGTAAATACTTCTTTACAATTCTTACCGTATCTGTCTCTCCACTTTGAAACTTTTCAACGGCGTATGGGACTAGATTTGCTGATTTGCTGCCAGGCATTACATTCATGTTAATACATCCAGATACATCTGAACCAAATATGGACTTAATGTCGGGAATATTTGCATCGCCATGTAGCAGTTTCATTATTAGCGTAACAAAGCTTGTACTGAAGTAAACGAGACTACCGAATTATGAAAGTAACTGAACCAGTCATTAACTTATTTTAAGATAATCAACTTTTTATGAAGTTGTAATGTCCAGCCTTTGGATGTTTTGCGTCTAGCCTGAAAGTATGTTATGTCATAAGTGAGTGTGAAAATCTAAGAATAGAACGAGAGAAAAACTGAGCTAAGTCAGTAAAAATACAGAATGCACTTGCGTTTAACAATGAAGGCGATTGGTAACAAACAGAATAAAACAAGAGTAAGAGTAAGACAATCTAATAGTCGATACTAAAATAACGTGTTTCCCGCTGCGTTAAAACGTTGTAGCGGTTCGCGTTTAGTCAGAAGGTACTTTGTGTACTAATGGAGCATACAGAGAGCTGAACAAGATAACAAAAGAAAAAGTGAGCCGATGACCCACTAGGCACACTATTAAGGAAAGCAATTGACAACAATAAACAGTAACACAAGCCTCAGATTAAGATAATCCTGAAATCGAAACTAGAAGCAGATAGTTTAGTCCACTAAATAGCTGCCCGTTATGGCAAAACACTGCCACAGTGGTTGTAATACCTTAATTGGGGAAAGAAACAAGTTCACATTACTTCATGGAGTTATGCATCCTAGCAGGTTCAGCTTGTATGTAGCTTTTTTCCTGTAAGGCATACAGGCAAGTAAAAACAGCAAGTTCAAGTAAAGGATCCTTCATGTACACAGTAATTAAAACCTACAATTAAGCAAATCAAATCCGACCAGTACAGCACGAGTCCGGTTTAACGACCAGCTAACACTTAACAGGGCACTTAGTGTCCTCCATGCAGCAACTCCAACCCTTCTCCCCAAAAGCCATCATATAATCTCTTCATTGAACCAGGTTTGTACCCAGACTTTTCACCTGTTTTCCACGCTTTCCTATACTTCATTTATACATC